TTTTTTTTTTCGGTGCCAGCTCCCTCCCCCGTGCCAGTCCTGGCGTCCCTCTGACACGGGGAGGGCGAGACACGGTCTGTGCTGGCTGGGCTCTGCAGCAACACTTGGTCTCCGCTGAGCCAGGGAGGCACCGTGGTGGCGGCGAAAGGAAGGAGAGAGGTCCCAGCCCACCGACACATCTCCGTTAAAATAAAAACCCCAACCCCATCCCCTTCTTGGGCATCCCTGGCTGCAAACAGCCTTGGAGCGGAGGTCTGTCCCCATGTCGGACGTGAGCCGTCCCTATGTCCCACTTTCCCCGGCCCGGCCCCTTCCCCACCTTCCTCGCAGCCTGTTTTCTTTGGGTTGGGACGAGCTGTGTCGCCTTGACTCACCTCTCTGTGTATCTCCGTACCTGCTGCCTGCACGCCCCCTCGCCGGCCTGCCCGCTGTTGCAGGATTTGGAGGTTAGCAGACTGGTTTTTACCCCGGCTTTGGGCTGTCTCTGGCTGCTGCCTGGTTATTTCTCCCCTGATGTTTTTACCTGCCTGCCAGCCCTGCGTGTCTCTTGGTGCCTCTTAACTCTCCCTCCCGGCAGGGCTGGCACGAGGCCGGTGCCAAGAGCGGAGCTTCATCGGAGGTGAACGTTTCAGAGCGTCAGGGCATTCCCACCACCCTCCTGGGTTCACTTGGGATGAGGATAGCTGCAAATCCTTATCCCAGAGGATTCTGCGCTCGGCACCCCTGTGCTGAGCTCTCCCCGCTCACCTGCGGCCTGAGGAGCTAATTGATTTCAGAGTCATTTGATATTTAATTTTTGAGCAAATAACCGAAGGGGGCTCGTACCACCTAGGAGAGGAAGATGCCTTTGGGGGGAACCGTTCAGCCTCACGCTACGGGCAGTGAATCATCGAACCCCAAAAGATGAAGCGTGTGCGCCTGCCCCCCTGCCCGCCCTGCCTGCGCTGCATGTGGATGTCTGCTCAGCCGGGCGGGGGGAGCGCCAGCAGCCCGGGGAGAACATTTAGGGGGCTCACTGCCTTTTAATATCTTCTTTTCGCCAGCCAGAATACGGAGCTGGGGCCCCCCCGTGCCCCGTGGGGGGGGATGCTGCAGCATGCAGGGCTTTGTGCTTTGGGGCTGGTGGCTCAGCGGCGTGGGACGAGGTGCCATCACCCCCTCTCCTCCTCTCTCCCTGCAGTTGTCCCTGAAATGCCGAGCGCCGGAGGTGTCCCAGTATGTCTACCAAGCCTACGAAACCATCCTGAAGAACTAAGGTGCTGCTGCAGCCCATCCTCTTCCTCTCCTCCCTCTCCCACCTGGGGAAGCGGGGCAGGTGTCTCCTCTCCTTCCTGCCAAGGAACCAGCCCCTGGGAATCTCCCTCCAGCCCCAGGGCCCTGAAAAGGGAGCCGGTGCTCCCAACTCCGGCGGGGCTGGGGCGGGCAGAGGAGGGCAGGGGTGTCCTGG